TTGAGCTCAACAGGAAGTTCACTCTGGCTAAAAAGAACTGGGACAGCGTCGTGCTGGATAGAATTGGTAAGCAGATGCTACCTCAGTACTCCGACCACCAAAACAACTATAAACTGTTTACTGCTATGTCTGACTGTCAATTATTTTAAAGCATGTACTTCCTACCACAACTAGTCACAAAGAGTCTTAAGCTGTATATAAATACATACATGCAAGTTTTTTTAATATATATATATATATCTTACTTGTTTTCTGATGAAGATGGCTGCCCCTCATTGAGCCTGGTTCTGCTGCAGATTCCTTCCTGTTAAGAGGGAGTTTTTCCTTCCAACTGTCACCAAGTCCTTGCTCATAGGGGGTTATCTGATTTTGGGGGGTTTTCTCTCTGATATTGAAGGGTCTTAACCTTACAACATAAAGGTGACAGTTGTTGTGATTTGACACTAAATAAATAAAATTGAACTGATTATAGCAGATAGAAATTTCTTGGCTTTGGTAACTGTTCTCAAAATTTCTGCAGCTGTTTGGCTAGTTTTCTCATTTTATTCAGATTTGTTCAAATTCAACAGGCTGTCAACAGTTCTCTTATAAGATATACTTTGAGTTAATCGTTAATAGTGTAGGGGTTTACACATTCACGCAAAAAGGGTCCACAGTTCGATCTCAGCAGGCGAATAAAAGATCACCTCAAAGTAGCTTTTACTATTTTTATATCAACCTTTTTTATTCTTGAAATAAACAGTCATAAACAAAACAAAGACCTTTTCTTTCTAAAATTCTGGTCAAGCAGTGAAAGCTTTTTCCAGATGGCAAAAATTGTAAGTCGAGTGAATAAAATCACCGAACACTTTATTAGGAAAACCACCGTAGAAGATGTTGGAAATTTTGTCAATTACGTTTTAAATATAACTTCTTCTTTTTGTTTCCATTATATCATTGTCTACGTTTTAGATCAGGCATGTGACCCGACCCAGAGGGCAGATGTGGCTGCTGTGGTAATGCAGGAAGGCCTGGCCAACCTGGTGCTCGTGACACCTGCCATGACGCTGCTTCGTGCAAAAGTGGAAGTCACCATTCCCCGTAAGAGAAAAGGAAGCTGCACACAGCACGACAAGGTAAAAGTGATTTATAGGCAACTGATCAGCTGTTAGTGAATCGGGAGCTCTAAAAGCAAGCAAACGGGAATGAAGTGACGTTTTGAAAAGGGCACAGTGTCAAATCTGAATATGAAGATACAGCTAAAATGTACACAGTGTGCCAACCCAATTATAATTTTCATATTGCGTGAGTGTTTTGGTGTAGATGTCATGGGAGTTAAGAGCTTACTGACTAAAACAAAGTAGGCAGATATACATATTCAAATATATTTAAATGTTTTTAAATGGGATTGAGTGGAATTCAAGTGGATTACATTTCTCTTTAGCCTCAGGAAGTCAACCTCAGTTTTTTTGTTTGTTTTCTGTGATAGTGTAACAAAAAATTTGGTTGTCCCCTTTCTTTGGGGATGTAACACTGAGAGAGATTTTCATCCTGTGTGCTTACTGTCAAAGTGTCTGTTTGCAGGGACTGGAGAAGTTTTATGAAGCTGTGATGCAAGCCATTCTCCGTCACATCAATTTTGATGGTAAGGCTGTTGTGTGCGCGTAGACACTTCTGCCTTTTTTTTTTAACTTATTGTAACAGTTCCAGTTTAATGTTTGCTGTGAAGCTTTCATTCATGGTGATGTGCACCATTGTGTTTTGTTCCTGAAGCTGGTTATTAATGTTATAACTTAAGAAAACTTTTCACTCTCACTGGATATTTTTCAGTGGGATCATAGATGTTTTAGAGTAGTAACCTCTATTTTCCTGTAAACATAATAGCTTTTATTAAATTGCTTCTGTGTTTTACTACATATATAAATCTAAACAGATGTGGATGTAAACTGCTGGTTCAGGTAGTTTCTCTTTACAGAAGATATCATTTAAAAAGAGTTGAGATTTAGATTTTTTTCTTTCTTACTTTCTGCCAGTTGTGAAGTGCATCCTGGTGGCCAGCCCAGGCTATGTGAAGGACCAGTTTACGACCTACCTCTTTAATGAGGCGGTACGGCAGGACAACAAGATCCTGCAGGAGAATCGGCCCAAATTCATGCTGGTCCACTCATCGTCAGGTCATAAGTACTCACTCAAAGGTAGGAGCTGCTGCCACTTGACAGCGAAATGAAATTTATCTCATCATAAGGTGCAAACTCACTGAGACAACTGTTGTTTTGCAGAAGTCCTTTCTGACCCCACTGTGACAAATAGGCTGTCTGATACGAAGGTGACTATGCATCCTGTGATTTAAGAGTTTGTGCATATTTGTGCATATGATTGCTAAACTGTGCACACAGCTTTTTAAACTCTGAGCAAAAAACTTTTTTTTTTTATTATAAATTGTATTAATCTGTGTGGAATTATGAATTATTTTCACTGGAGACATAAATAATTTTGACCTGTTGTTTTGTATCTTGCTCCTCAGGCAGCCGGAGAGGTGAAAGCCCTGGAGGACTTCTATAAAATGCTGCAGCATGAGCCTGACCGAGCCTTCTACGGGTGCGTGCTTGATGATGGAATGTAACAGTTAACTTATATTGTTAACACTGATCATAAACAACCTGCATATCTTTGCATCCTCACAGCCTCGCTCATGTGGAGAAAGCTGCTGAGGCCCTCGCTGTCGACACCTTGTTGGTAAGCGACAAGTTGTTCAGGTAGGTGTGCATGAGGGATGCTTTTGACAGGCAGTGTTATTCTGCCTCGTTGCTGCTGTTGTTTATGTGTAACATGTTCACTAACATACTGATGAGTACGTTCAAAGAACTTTTCCTTTCTGTGTTTTTATTTTTGTCATATCAATATAACGTTACTAGGGTGGATGCACATACTGAACACAGCCAGGATCAAATAATGACGTCAGCATATGTACATGTATACGCTCCGAGCAGTCAGTCTTTAGACTGCCCTTCTTTAAACACTTGATTTATGACAGCTTTCTGGGACTTCTATGTTATAAAAAAAAAGAGGATATCCTTAAAATCGTCATTATGGACCCACAGTTCTCCCAATTTCAATGCTTAATTTGTTTTGTCAGGCATCAGGATATCCCCACCAGGAGTCGCTACGTTCGCTTGGTGGACAATGTGAGAGACAATGGTGGCACTGTCAGGTAACTTTGTAAATACTATGTTTGTAGACTTAAAAACTGAATTTTTGTTATGTACTATATGTGACAATTTTGTTAAAAGTAGAAATGCAGGCTCCTGTAGATTTACATGCTGGCTAGAACATGTTTAAAGTACTTTGGAAAACATCAGGCTAATGACTTTTTCTCTCTTTTCCATGCAGAATATTCTCAAGCCTTCACGTTTCGGGTGAACGTAAGTTATTGCTCCCTTCATGTAGTTGAAGTTAACTCTTTAGCTCTCTCAGGCTCTAAGGAGCTGTCGTTTTTCAACTTGATGTCCTGTCACGTTTGTTTTCAATGCGTAAAAAAATCCCCCATAGATTCCCATTACTATCACTACAGCCACAGTACTGATACCAACAGTGCCATCCTTACTTCCTCAGTTTGACAAGTAACTTCTCACAGTCCTGTCCCTCGCTAAAAGCTGAAGTAGTTGAAGTTCATGAACCTGAACAAGACTTTAGGAAAACTGCAACAGCACTAAAGTATTGAACTGCTGTCATTACGTTAACATTAGTCGGTTAACTGTTAGCAATTACTTGCGCCTAGGGGTGACAATCTGGTCTTCTTCTATTGCTGGTCCCAGACCTGGATATATTGGAGGGTTGGGCCACAACCTAAAAATGCTCTTGTTGTTCATATGTGAACCTTACAGTTGATGTTAATATACAGTTTTTGAACTACATCAGGCAACTTCTAAAAAAATACCTCCTAACTTTTTTAGCATTTTCTTCTGGATTTGATTTCTCATGAACATTTGCAGTGGATTGCATAGGATTTTTTTTAAATCTGATACCATCATGGTTTAAATCCATGTCTGCTAATTTGTTCTCCTCTTCTGCACTGGTTTTGTTGATGTATAGCTACATCACTTAAGCCTCAAAAAACTGTATCTGGCCTGTATGGTCATCCCTGTCGGAGCACCACTGAAACAAATGGGAGCATTTCTGTGCACCTTTTTTTCTGCAGGGTTTGTTACTTAACATGAAATCACTAATAAGAGTAAAATAATGAAAAATAAAGCGTAGGATTAATTTACCGCTGTCATTTGGACTCAGTGAATTGATGACGCCACACACATAAAGTGATAATCTCATTCTTTATTGATGTCTTACTCAAATAAGAAGTCAAGAATTTGTGCTACAACTGCACCGATTGGATTTTTATAATTAAATATAAAGCCAGTCCGCAGTACAGGATGTGTCACCTTTTGATTTATTCTGGACTGTCTCACCAGAACTGACTCAGCTGAGCGGGGTGGCTGCCATATTGCGGTTTCCCATCGCCGACCTTTCAGACGCCGAGGACAACAGTAGCTCAGATGAAGACTGATCCACACAAACACCCCAGACTTCTCCCGATACCCGCCCTCAGTTTTGCAGATAAACATGGGAATGTTCGATGTGTTATGAAACAACGAGTCGTGAGAAATTCCACCCCTGTAACAGCCACATCTTTTACAAATCAAATGAACATGCCTGATTTTCTAAAGTGGCCATAAATTCACTTAATTTTGATGCAGTTTTGATGGTTTTTAAGCTAAAGACAGAAAATCCTCAATTCACAAGAAGGGCAGTAAGATGAATCTAACATTTTTTTTTTCAAAGTCACAAAAACCCATTCATTTTAAATGATAGCAATAGCAAAATAAGTGACTTCTTGAGTCAAGTGTACATACAATATATCTTTCTTGCAATTAAACAGCAGAAGCATGCAACTACTCCTGTTATTTCTCTCGTTTATCACCATTCATGGGTTAAATACAGATTGGACCAAGATATAAAAATAGATATTTTCTTTCTCACAGTTATTTTTTTTCTTTCATTTAAAAAACTATTTAAGGGCATTACACCCCCAAACTACTGCATATCGACCTCTATAAATCAAGTATGTTCAGGATTTTCAATTAGATACAATGATGTGATTTACAGTTAGAACACTGTAGGTTCCTCTTATTCTTCTTTGGCAAAATGTCAAATTATGAACTTCCCCTGTGAAGAATTTCAGCAGCTAGGACTAAAGTGCATTTTTTAAATGTAACTTTAAGAAAAAAACACAATTTGCTTCTGTATATTAACTTCATATTTATTGACTTTCCCTTTTAATTTAGCTTTTTATGTAAACGTTACATTTAAGAATAGGGGTTTTTTGTGGGGACTTTTTTCCCCTTTGCATTTTTCAACCTTATTTTATACACATCAGTATTTAATTGTCAGATTTATTGAAGCACTTCTGCTTCATTATCTGAATAAGGGGCTGTGATTAAATAAGTGTGAATGTAACTTCTAACTAAAGCTAGCTACTTTAGATAGGCTAGCTAAGTTAGCTAACGTAGTTACGTTACCTAGAGTGGGGTTATCTAAAGCTAGCTAAACTAGTTAGCTAGAAAATTTAATAAATTGATAAGTTAGGTAATTAGAGAAATTATACATTGAAAATTAAATGGGAAGGTAAATAAATGGGGGAATACAAATGTAAATATGGAAATAAATCAAAACATTTATTTTTATATCTGATTTTATAAACGTATTAATGGCTATATTAATTTACAGTAGTTATTTTTGGGCAGTTAATGGCATATTTCTTTAATATTTTAATATATCTATAGAGTATTGATTTTGGCAGTTTCGGCCCTCCATATACTCCTCCCTCACTGAATGCTAAATTCAAGTGTAGCCTTGACTGCAAGCATGCGTGAACTAGCTGCACTTGGCATCACTCAGCAGGACACTGGTAGCTCTTAATCCAGGCTAAATCCTCCAGTGTGCCCCAGTGTAGGTAGATAATTGAGCAGATAACCATGACATGCATTATCTGGTGGCTGTTGCCCCAGTTGTCAAACAATCCTGGTTTGAAGCGCTCAGGGATCTGGACAATGTTGACAAGCCCTCCCAATAAAGCTAGACAGTCCATGATGACAAAGAGACGCAGGGAATTTGGGCTTCCTACCCCGCTGCCATAAACCCGAAACAGGAAGAGGCTGAAACGGAACAAGGCCTGCCAGACAAACGATTGCAGGCGCCGGACGTTAGTGCGGGCAGTGGTGGCACAGTAGATCCCGTGGGCTGACAGGAGGATATAGACCAGCAAGGCAGTCTGTTGCACGATTGGGTAGCAGAGGAGGGTGATATGAATAATAGGAATTGCCCCTGGAGAGATAATGCAAGGTTGCTGTTACTGGCATTGTTGTCAGCATGGTTATTTTTAGTCAACACTAAAAATTGTTTGGTATCTTGTTATTTTTGCTGTTGTTTTTCAGAAGCAAATGTTAACCATTAGGTCGAACTAAAGAAAAAAAATCAGGAGTGATCCAGGGTTCCTCTGAAAAACACAAACTTTATGGCAATCAGTCTGATATTTATTGAGGTCTAGCCTTAAAGTTGTGGATAATCCCATGCACTGTTAAATGAGGCTTGACTTTGACTTTTGGTAGGCTTGAACTATCTTTGCAAAAGACTTTACATGAGACTTTTAGGCTTATTGACCGACTTAAGTGATTCTGGGAGGAACTGTTTAATGTTCAATATCTTTAATCTGCCTTAAGACTTCATTGGTTGTTTTTAAGACCACCACAGTATTTTGTCCATTCTTATTCACGTTCACACTCCTGTCAGAGCTTTGAGGTCTGCTAATCAGACAATCCTCAATACTCCGACATCTAGACTAAAGGGTTAAAAACTCGGTCGTTGGTGGGACTACTGCTTGAGAGAGTTGCTACTCCATATCAAAAGAGCCCAGTTGATTTGGGTCAGGTATTTGACTAGCATGCCTCCTGGGGACCTCCTTGGTGAAGTGATTCAGGTATGTCCCACTGTGAGGAAGCTCTGAGGCTGACCAGAAAAGATTATCTCTTAGTTGGCTTAGGGAATGCCCTGGTGTCTCCCAAGAAGAACTGGAGGAGGTGGGTATCTACTAACACTGGTACCCCTGCAACCTGGACCCGGATAAGAATTAGAAGATAAGAAAGAAATGTGGATGCAGGGGCACCCCTGAATTGTATCAAAACCATAGTATTCAGCATTTCTAAAATTTTGTTGTAACTTATCAATACTTGTTAATGGCTTGAATTCCAAAAACTTAAAACTTGAAAACATCTTAGTTATGACCAGTAAGCCCCTCTGGTCCCGGTCTTAGCATCAGGAGCAATCTCTGCGGTTACATTTACTTTCTTTCGTCAACCTACCGAGGGTGTTAACTAGGCAGACGCCGACCATGTCCAGGGAGAGCAGCGTGTCGTACACGTGTTCTCCTCCCACGTGGTTCATGAATAAATGGTAGACCACTGATCCCATGGTGGGACAGAGGCAGGCCAGATAGTGGACAACACATATCCAGATGCTGTCCACCTCCTTCCAGGGGATACTAAAAGGTAGCAGCACCAAGAAAAGGAAGAAAGGAATTCCTGAAATGACAGGAAGATGGAAAAAGAACATAATTATTTTTCTGAAATCTGCAGAATATAAAAATAATTTGTTGAGTATTTTGAGGTATGTGCCACTGCTGTAGGTTAGTGTCAGCTTAATTTGTAGTGGCATTTTAAACACAGTACCTTAGTGCAACACATAGAAGTACCGCCTGTTGCAGAACAATATGAGGAATTCAATGGACCGAAACGGTTCCTCTGTCTAATTGTAATTTTTACTAGAAATGAGTAGTTGGTTACATACATAGAGAAGCTCGAGCAGCACTCTAATGCTAATATGCTTCACTTCCCCTTAGTAAGAGTGTTAGGTTTAATGAACTTATGGAATAGCCATGTTGAAAATGGGGCAAGAAGACGACAAGGCCTACTGAAGTTCAAGGCTATGAAGTTTCTAGTTTGTGCATGGACCAATTTCCCTTTTTTGCAGTTTTTTTCCATGAGCCAGCCTTGAAAAGTTTCACATTAAAACCAGAACTTTTAAAGATTTCTTAACACATATCTTATTCTACAGCAGCTCAGAATCTGTGCAAAGTTGTCTTTGGATGCTTCACTCAAGATCCGTATGGGCATTTACAGATCAGAGGTGTCGGTCACCTTCAACGGCCCAGTTAACCAGTGGACACTGTCAGGGCTCTGATTCCCAGGGCAGATTACAGCTAATACCCCATATCCTCATTACCCATCCTTATCAAGTGTGTTTGTATCTGGCCATAAGTGAGAGTTGACATGCGTGGCTTGTTTAGTTTGCGGGTTAATACGACTCAAGGTGAGAGAAACTTGCTTTGCGTATAAAGTGTAAAAATATATTTCAATGATGATTCAGGTATAGTAAGAACGGCTGCAATGGCATTTTCTAGTTTAGGTATGTATGCACCAGTTGAAAGAAGCATAACTGCTGGACTTACCGTGTGTGTAGATGTTCCCCAGCTCATTGTGCATGTAGAAGAGGCTCCTGACGCACTCTTCAGCTGTGGACACCGGCCGGTAACCCGTCAGGACATATTTGTTGAACTGAAGGTGAGCAGGAGCCTTTGCAAAGTCCAAGAGCCGCGGTCCTTTGTAAAGCACCATCATGACTTCCTGCAGCCAGTGCCCTCACATTTAGCTTCCTCACCATTTAGATCATAAAAGGGCGCACTCGGGACTCCCGGGCTGGTCTTTGACCACGACCAGCCGGAAACTCTGGTCCTCAAAACCCATCATTGGACAGGTATAAGTCCATGCAAGCAACCTGTTGAGCTGGCTAAGTGGCATGATCTTGGACCAATCAGCGCACGGCCTTTATTCCTAAGCTGGGTAATCCCCCAGAAAAAGCCATGTGCACTTCTGCAGCTGCTCCTCCCTTGTAACTGACTCACACCTAACCAGCTTCATGGTTTACGTAACGCACTTTAACAAAACAGAAGTACTTCCCTTATGTACAGTAATGCATGTGTGCTTCTGTCACTCACGTTTGCTGCACCAGGCTCAAGGATTACAAATCCTTACTGGGCGGTTGTTTTCTTCGTGACTCTTAACCAGCACTGACGATTCCGTATTGTGTCCACTTATTATTTGAAAACAGGTTTGCAAATTACAGAGCCAGCAGTGTGTGTAAAACATGCACAGGTCACTAAAGAAACAACTTCCACTTTGAGGTTCTTTTGGTAGTTTTAATAACTCAAATACTGTACAATAACAAACACATGATTGCCACAAGTAGTAAAAAAGAATTTCTCATGTAAAATAAATTAGATGGAGTTATTGTTTTTAGAAATATTTCAACTAATTTGAGGGGTTATTAAAAATGCTAAACAAAATGACATTTCAGTTGTAAGGATAACAGTAAACATGGGACAAAAATGTGAAGGACAAAACTAAACAAGACACCAAATTATCACTATTATATTATATCACATACAACAACAATTAAGAGAGATTCAATTTGTTGTTCTCAGTAGAGCTAACCTGTGGGAGGGGGCAAGAATACAGGAGAAAGGTGAGCAGGCTGGTTAAGATAAATACAGCACATAGGAAAAAACAGGTCTGTTCTCACCTTGATGCCCAGTATCCCCAAAGAAGCCATTCAGTTCATATTTGTTGTCCTTTGCTCCTAATCAGACAGAAATATTCAATTTTATTATTTAATATGTAGTAATTCAACAGCCATGCAGCTGGTACACAGACTGAACTAAATCAATCGAATGCAGAAGGACTACAACTATGACGAAATGTACTTTTACAATTAGCTTCCACACTCCCTTTTTTTGATGACATGGTGACAAAATGTCAACACTTGGGAGAAAGACAAGAGCAGAAATATAGACTGGATGGTCTGTGCAGAAGTGTCTAAAGCCTTCAGGCCTTACCTTGTGGCTGAAAATGCAGTTTGAGATGCTGCTGGATGTGTATCTGACGCGGCAGGTCATCGGGTTGCTCGGACACCTGAGTCGTACCCTCTGATTCTGTAGCGGGTGCTGAGTCGAGCGTGAGGCCGGCTGTCCCTTCTAGATCGGGGAAGTGCCGAACATCACCGGGCATCGCGTCAACTGTGAATGAAGACTCTGCAGGGAGACGGGAGTGGACAGACGAATAGGCCGGGCTTGGGGTGGGGGCTGCAGGAAACACAGCAATTATGAGACAGTGCCATAAAAGGGGGGGGGGGCAGAAAAGATGCATGAAAAAAATATATAAATGTAAACCTAAATATCAGTATTATTATTTATTTTTATTACCTTGTGGTTGCACTCGGCCATTTATGTAGCCCAGGTTTTCTGAAATTGTCAGATGAACAGTGACGTGAGCAGAGTGAAGCCACAACAGATACCAATGCAGAATAAGCTTTTATGCCCACCGTATCCATCAATGAATCTCCCCACGCCTTCAGCTGCAGGCCCTGGAGTGGGCAGCTCTCCTTTCACTGTGAGTAAAAAAGAAAAGAAAGAGTAGATGAATGAAGCAGGTGATGTTGGGGTCCATATGTTCTGTGAATCTCTCAGAGATCAAATCCTTTTTCTGACGCACCGTAGGATTTTCTAGCTGAATTGGACTCAAGCGGCTGGGGCTCATAAGTCAAACCTGCTGCACCTGTTTAAGCCAAAATGAAGATAAATAATTTGTACACTTCAAGGCTGACTGGTCAGGTAATTAATGACAAGTTATGACCAGTTTTACCTTCAGCTGCAGTTTCAAGAGGCTGTGACTGGTAAGCTCCCTGATTATCTGTTAAGAAATTATCACCAAATCATCAAGTTGATCTTATTTTAAACAGTTAAAACAGAAATCAAAAGAAAAAAACACATAAAACAGATATTATGTACCATATTTCCCAGAAGATTTAGCTTCACCATCAAAACCAACAGCCTGTGGTAGATAGGGACCCTCAGCGCCACCTTAAACAAAGATGAAACAAAGATGAAAACATGAAGGTGATAATTAAACCAGATAAAAGCTGACAGGTACATGGTGGCACCATGTTTGCTCAGTCTCACCATATTTTCCTTTCACATTATGTCCAAGCCCGAGTGGGTCAGGTTGATATTGTGACACAGCCAGACCTGAAAAGAAAAATCATAAAAAGTGAAATACAATAAAAGAACAAATGCATGGATGCTGTGTTCGGTGGTTTCTCTCTGTGCACAGCCTGTCACCCTGTGGTTTTCACAGCTCTGGTTTATTTATTCTTTATTGTAGTCTGCATTTTTGTGGACTCATCATTGAGAGCTACATTTAGAAAACCACTGCTGCTTTCATGTCTAAGCTACAGTCAAACTTCAGCCCAGCTTAGCATAAAGATTTCAAACAGGGGGAACACCTACATTAAAAATACTGTATTAAATATTATAATCCTTTTCATTCCTGTATTTTTCCGCTTGTGTTTTACAGGAAGGTTTCATAGGTTTGCACTTGTGTTTGAGAGAAGCCATGTACCTGCTCTCTCTTTAAGACCCCATTCCCTAAAACAACAAAAACTTTCTTCTGATTCGCTGACTTCTGCAAGCTTGCTGAGGGGCACCACCCAGTGTTTGTAAGCTGCACGAGCTCTATGATGTTGGCGTGCCGCGAGTATAGGAGATGACTGCGGTAAGAAAAGCGATGAGGTGATATGAGGTCATTTCAAAAGTAGAGGAAAATGTATCATTAGTATCATATGCAAATGAACACATTATGCCATTTAGTTAGCTTTTAGTTAGCCATCTGTTTGGCAACTAAATTCACCTTAACGACAAGCCAATCAGCATTTTTAAAAGGCTTTTTTAAAAATTCATTTTATTTGTTTTAATCATATTTACCGGTAGATTTTGTTTCTAGGCCCAGTCCAGCTGGTTGAGCTTCATAAGGCAGCCTTCCATAACCTTCAGCGGAACACAAGAAACAGAAAAACAAAAATGGTTAGAGGATCGTGACTGAGGTTTAGATGTTTACCAGGTAATTCAAACTGAAGAGAACTTAGTGACTGTCATTACTCTCCATATTTACCAGCTGTATTTCCAGCGTTGCCAAGGCCAAGTAGTTGTCCACCATTGGGGAACCCTTCATATCCTGGCATAGACGGAAAGAAAACTTTTTAAAACGACCACAACCTTTTTACAGGAAGCCTTTTCACAGCTAAGTGTAAGTTTTGAATTTATTTTCCTCTCCCCTTGGGTTCCTGGTTCATTTCTGGATAGACTAGAGAGTGTTTCCTGTTGGATTAGAAGAATGATTAGCCAGTCTCCAGGTATAGGATCCATGTGTAAGTTGGCACTAACAGTACCAGTAAGTGTGTTGAATTTATATAATTCAGAGGATGTTCTGAATCGCAGGAATGATGAAGAGAAACTGGAGCCTGAGCTAAATTTCAAGTGTTTTTGCAGAAGGTCCAAATACTTACGTAAATCAAATCCTAAAATCTGGTGAGTGTATGTTTTAAAGACTGCTTAAAAGAAATATGTTCTCACCATATTTTCCAAATGGCTTTCCGTCACCTGCAGCACCATAGGAGCTAAATCCATAACCTGGAAAAAATGGGACAAGTGTGGTTATACTTCCTCTTTGTTGAGCACAGTTTCAGCCAAGCCACAGCACGGTGACAGACGTACCATATTTTCCTGCACGATTAATTCCCGTACCAACAGGCTGCCCAGAAAACTGCAGCCCACCGATGCCAATACCTGAATCAGAGCAAGCAGAACATGTGATCAGATGGGACATAAGTAATGAGAGACAAATACTGTTGAAGGTTGAAGGTTGTGCATTGCAGAAAGGCACAATGTTATTAGATATAAACTCAAAGATGTGTGCTTTCTTTTTCCCCCTTTCCCAGCACCCAGTTTCTGTCCACCAAGGGCAAATTCACTCATTCCTATAACAACAGGAAAAACTCTGCTGTTTATAGGTCTCTAAAATTTATTTTTTTTGTGGATTTTAAACAAAGATTAGTTGTATTTTGTTAAAATAAAATACATGTGAACATGTTAAGTTTTACTAGGCACCATATGTATTGCCTAATTTTCCATTTGGACCAAGACCTGCCGACTGACGCTCAAACTGACTCATCCCTGCACAAATGCATGAAAAATATTTCAATTTCAACCAAAGTTTTACTCCACGGGAGAAAGGAGACTTCTTCTCTGTCTGATATTCTGCTCACACGTGCTTAGATCAGTTTTTCCCATGGCGACATGGTCTTACCATCTACTCCAGCAGCAACCACTGGAGCTCCATTGTATGGAATCTGTCCTGTGCTACCTGTCCAATCAGCATCACTGGAATATATTTACCTTTTGTGTCATATTTACCTAATATACTTCACGATTATCTTATATTTAGCCATAACTAACTACCCACCCTTATCTATTACTCATTACCATACCTGATTTGCCATCAGGAACAGGCACAACTTGTCCAATGCCTGGAAACACAGGGAAATGTTACCGTTTACACAAAAATTAACTGCTGCAAAACAACATTTCTCAACTAAATGTCATAAAATGCTCTTACTTGCATAGTCAGGCTGTAAACCTGCACCGTAGCCATTTGCATAACCTGCAGCAAAACATAAACTATGTTAACTGTTAATATCCAACAATGGCAGTCAAAATATGGCCCAACAG